ACTGTACGAAAGACTGGAACAACAGAATATAAACCTGTAACAACTTCATAAGAGAAGGTCAATTTATATACTGATTTGTAATACAGAAATAATACAATAAAGCTAATTAGGGGACTAGTGGGATATACTGTTGATTATACAGCGTATGATCAGAGTAAAAGTCTGTGTTGGCTCACAGAGGGTGCAACGTCTGGAAGGACTGTCATACAGGCAAATTGTTTGCAGCTTCTGAATCACTCTGGATGCATTATTCATTGCTTTGGACAATAAAGGAACATGCTGCTGCTCCTGGTGTTTTGAGTGATCGTGAATGGTGGCTTACTTCTTTCCCTTTTGTGTCTCCATTTTCTATCCACTCCACTGTGACACTCTCGTTGTCCTCATTCAGCGAGGTCACCATCGCCTGGTGTATACGTCCTGTGGAAGTGTCATATAGAGGAGACGCAAACATTAGAAGACTAATGAAGAATAACACTAAAGCAATGAAGGCAGTGCTTACTAAAACCCAAACCTACTCTTTTGGTTCTGACCATGATCTTTGATAATGACCTGTTGGAGAAAACCAATGATAATGGAGACAAGCACAGCTGCTGCTTCTTCTTCAGTGTGCTTCTGTCCGCCTCTCTGTCTGCAGTGTAATAACACCAGCTGTAAAGAACCTGCTCAGCCCTCCTATCTTTGTCTATGAGGATCTGACTGTGCGCAGTAAATTCCCAGCACAATCCAGGGAAACGCCATGTTCCTGTCTCCATTATTCATAGACACACAGTGGCAAAGATACTTTCAATGTTCTTGACTGCTCAACATTTGACTGATTTACCTTACAGTGGTTTTACACCGGCAAAATGCAGCAAAACAAATCCAGTGACTTAAAACAGGGAGAGCTCGGAAAAAACATGCATTTTAAGATCCAGACATTTTGACTTAAAGGGTAGATCTATCTCATTCTAAATAATACATTTTTATCAGCTGAAGATGCAAATTAATATCGGATCAAAAGCATCCTCATCAGTATTTCAACAGTATCATGAGATTTCCATAAGTGCTGGCTGTCAGCCCAAAGGCCAGACATCAAAACATTACCAGCCAAATACATTCTTACTGTTACTGATTTTTAACTATACATTTTTACTATAACCTGCATGATTTTAGTTATCAGACATCTGGATCTTCAGTTATCAGAGAAACAGACTTAACTAAGTCTGCTTACACAGATATAACTTATTTCAAACAAACCCTAAGTAATGTCAGCTGCTAGGGGTCTCTCAATACAAACAATGGAGGGAAAAAACAGCTGACTTGCAAACTAGCTAGCAGTGTGTCCATCATACATCGTTTGCCCCGGAAGTTATAGCAGAGACAGGAGAAGCCACATGTTAAACAGATATGATGCAATTAAAAGGCGACCAAGTCAATTTTAGACATATTCATAGGGCTATAACATAGGGGCGACTTATCAAAAAGGTGTTGTGCAACTTAACATTAACAGTCCCAGTCTCTAATTCTACACCAGTCTTCCACAAGATTATCCTTTCTTTGGTGCAAGGTTTGGAGAGCACCAGTCGAAAATCTTTGATCGGTGCTCATGTTGGATGGAGATCTAATGGCTGTGAGTGTGAAGCCTTAATCATTTGTTTCATATCATTGTCATACTTAAACCTATTGAGTCATCATTTTTGCCCTATGTGAAGAGACCTGTATTTATTATGATGCCCCAGTTATTTATTAAAGTTTTTCTCTATGATTTGTCACATGTCTAACTGTGCATGTAACTTTTAGTGTACTTCAGTAACTACTGTGCTGACATGTGTAAGGTCTGGGCTGTAAAAAGTCATCTATAAATGATACCAGTTTAAATCAGAATTACAAACTGATCAACTAGGTTGCAGAAAAAGCCACTGAGACAAAAGGCGTGTGACGCTTGGTGTCACACCTCTACTTAAGGAGCATTGAAAGCACGTCATGCTCACTGCATAGTCACTGCAACACTCAAGAGGATTTACAAGGCCCTCGAAATCACTACTGCTTCCTGTTAAAGGTATCTACTAGCAGTAAAAAAATGGTACGTGTGACTGGTTGATTTAGTTTATGTCAGTGTTTCAGTTTGACCACATCCTTCTTGTGGGCTCATAGAGACCAGACTGCTCTGATCAGAAATAGTAATAGATAATAATAGAGTTAGAGCAGCTCAGTGAGAATTTCTTCCATTACACGTACAGAACCAGGAAAACTCTCCTTGTTCCACATATTCAGGAAAAGTTAAGTTTTTTAAAATACATTTGGAAGAAAGTCCAATCCTCAAGTATACAATAAATTGTCCATTCTATGGAAAGGATAGATGACAAAAGAATCAAATTACAGCAGTAAACCAGCAGCTGGACACAAATAAATGTTGCATGAGGCTCAGTTGTTCTTCCCAACTATGCTGACTTAGCAAGATGTTTGTCGTATCACCCAGCACACAGTGGCCTCCTGTTTGTGGAGAACTTCATCTCTGCTATATATAGAAACCAGCGTGTCATGACATAATGACCTCAATAATGGGCAGGAATACAAATAGTGGTCGACATCTTGTCAAATGCTAAACTAAACATCAGCAGGCTTACAAGGTAGCTGCTTGTGGAAGTGTGCAAATGTTAATATACAGCCTGAGAATGAAGACCAAAACCACAACAACAGATAAACAACAATTGGTTTGTAACACGCCTTTCTAATCTGTTGCTGCCAGCGGCCCCAAGAGATTGAAGACACAGAAGTGAGATCTACATTTCCACCAAAACAGTGTTTTAACTGTTAGATCAACATACTGCCTCCACACAGGGTGTGATACTGAAAAATGTGTGATGATGGATTAAACGATGAATATGTTTTTTTCCTCAATCTACTACATTCATTAATAAAATGGATTAAATAATGACAATTATTACTCCAAAATCAAATAACAACAACAATGCATATTCAGTAAAAAACGATTTGCCTAAAAGGCAGAGAAATTGGTAATTATAACTGATGTGATTTAAACGTTGTCAGCATTTTTGCCAAATAATGATTCCATCATTAAACATTTCAGCAAACAAGATCCAGGGCAAACTTAGATTAACTCTGAGATCAGTAAGGTCCACATGCATGTTTCTTCCTCACATTCAGAGATTATACTGTACAGCTACATGATATGAAATACTAAGTCACATATGGTGTGTCTTACAGCAAATGATGTGCTGATATCCTGTAACTGAATTCACTGTCCCTGTGTCCCACTTTAATACTAAAACCTGGCTGATTGGGTACGCTGACACCTCCCAGGAGCTGAAGGGGCTTAAAAGGGGTGCTTCAAGCTCTGTTAAGCCAGAGGAACAAACAAAGCTTTCAAAGCAACAGTTTCACTACGAAAGTTAAGGGACCCATTAATGTAACCATGTCAACATGTCACAGATGCACATAGCAGGTTGGTGGCCCATGCCTCTCTAGTAGCTAATATCAAAGGAACTAGTATATTTCACATAAAAATGAATGCCCAATAACATCATTTCAGAGATGACAGAGAATGTCTTATCATAATTAAAAAGTGGATGAACACTGCATTGCGATGAGGGATAAGCAGTGACTGCACGTCGTCTACTGAACAGCAAAAGATTATTCTCTTTGAGATCTTGCTCTCATCAGGACTGACTGTGAAAGGGGAAAAAATGCAGAGGGAGCGAGAGTGAGTCCTGGCTGAATCAAGTGAGCTGCCTACAACAGATGGGGTGGTGGCTAATAGTCAGAATCCCCCCCACCCCCCCACACACACACACACACACCCACACCCACACCCACACACACACCCAGAGTGAGGGCAATCCCTGCTCTGGATGCAACACCAGACAGCAGGGAATCAGACAGACAGCACCACTTCCCTCCCTGGGCCTGCTGAGCGTTTCCTTCACATCAACCCCCCCCCCCCCCCCTTCCCCACCCTCCCTGGTCTCTGGATTTGGGATGAGGGCATTAAGAACAGAATGAACATCAACCAGTGCAATATTTAAAAATACACTTGCTATGCAAATTGTTTACTTTGAAGTATGTTGATGAAACAAGTATTTGATTATTGCAAAATACTCTCACTAGGTGAAGCCTAATTCAGGAAGGCCCGGCAGGAATGATGTAAGCTTCTCACTCTTCTTTTGGCTGCCCGGCCCTGAAGCAAAGCTCAATAACAACACAGGACTGGTAGAATAAAGCAGGCATTCACACAAGAGTCATATACAAATAGCCAGCTCTCCCTTTCGTGGTGTACTCCTCAGTTTAGCCTTCAAATAAAGTGACCTACAAGTCACTAAAGTACCTCCATAAAAAACCCAGAGCCATGGTCACTCCATACACCTTGGATAGCTTATCTTATCTTGGTTTGGGTTTACATTATCAAAAATGACTATTGATTTATTAAAAGGGCCGACCTTGTCCAAGAAAGGTTGTACTGTCAATAAATAGTATCATCAGTCATTATCTAGAAAACCAATGTAACTAACTTGGGATAGTACAGTGCATGATCCAGTAACTACATCGCTCACAGTAATGATAGTAGAACTGGTCTCATGTTTAATGTCTATTTTATATGAAATAAGCTGAAAATGAGCCTAAAACTGTGGTCTTTGATTCTCCTTTTTGATATCTGATGTTATTCATGATTATTCGAATTGTGTCCTTGTTGTGTTGTTGTTTTTAATCAACTCTTCGTGGTGTGTATGTCTCCATTGTGAATGTTTCATGTTCCCAGGTCTCTCTTGGAAAATGGATTGGAAATCTCTTTGAGATGAATGAATAAAATATCATAAAATTTAAAAAAAACGTCTGTCTGTGGTGTTGCCACAGGATGTGAAATGTACAGGGCGTTTAATAACATGTCTTCCATAACTATCGTTCGTTCAGTTAGCTGAATTTACGGATTGAACAGGGTGGAATTTAATGTCAAAAAGCAAACTCCTGGGTCGTGAATGGGTTTCATGAGGCGTTGATTAGCTTCTATATATCATAAAGCCGGTTGGTAACATTAGCTAGCGTTAGCTATTAAGCTAATCACAACGAAGGTTGCTCTCCATCGAAGCAGCTGACGTTAAGCTAACTTGCTTAGCAATTGCGCTAGCATTGCCAGTGTGAAATTGTAATCACTTGTTAGAATAGCTAATTTGAGTTGAGGCGCTGTACGCGGGTAGCGACGTTTTCATTTTAGCTCGGTTCATTTCTCATCGCTCGCGTTGACTGTTACGATTTGAATTAACAGCTAGCGGCTAATGTGTGTTGAATTCGCAATGCAGCTAGCTAACAAAGGTGGAGGCTCATTCAAATGCTCTGGCCATGTTGAAGCACTCCGCCCTGACAGCTTCTCCGTGCGGCTAACGTCAGCGTCACGCTCCGCAGTGAGGATCGTCGGTTGCTGGATTCAACAGCACCGCAGCAACAAAGATCCCCGGACAACTTGCTCAGCGCGACGGGGACAAAATCGACAGGATGAAACTTACCATCACTGCGCTTTATCTCCACATAAGTGCCGACCACAATCTTCCCAAAGGCCGACGCCATTCTACATTACTTAAACAAATAACAGGAACAGGACCGACGACTTATTGCGAGTCGAGGAGAAGCGGCTTCTTGTGTTTAGTGTTTGGCTGAAGAGGAAGATGCAGCAGCAGCAGTAGAAAGGAGCTAGCATTACGTAGCTAATAGCTTAGCGTTTCCGGTCGTGCCTGCAGTTTTCAAAATAAAACCAAGAAAGGAAAGAAAAATCATCCTTGTGTGAATTAAAATATGACATAACTCATCACAACTACAAGTAGTTTATATGGTATATGATCATTCAAACGTGAATTAATTAATCAACTTATTGATTTTTAATATCTATGATGCCAGTGTGGGGGTTTGAGTACATTTACTCAGTTGTATACACTTAAGGTGCAGTGTGTAAGATTTGCAGAAATTGGCAGACATTGATTATGAAATAATCGTAGTAACGTTTTGACTAGAGTGCAATCATCTAAATTGTACGAATTGTTGTTTTCTTCACCTTAGATTGGGACATTGATAGTACTTCAGCTTAAGTACACATTTTAATGCATGGCCTTTCCTTGTAAAATGGAGGGTTTGCACTGTGATATTGCCCCTGAATTAAAGGATCCTAATGGTTCATCCACCATTTTATGGTACAATATTTCCTATTTATCAGTGTGTAATTGTCACTCTAACTGTATGTTGTATGATGTTTTACACCAGGTGGCACCAAAGCTCTAAAGATCCAAAAATGAGTCCCAAAGCCCAGAAAACAGCCTCACCAGCATTCTGCTGGTGAGCCCCCAACATTATTGCTCTGAAAAGTTGGGATGGAAGCCTAGTATGTTTCATGGTTTATGGGATGTTTCTCTCATGAAAACTACATCTATTCATTTATTTCATATATTCTAATTATAGGACATATCAAATTGTTAGTTTTATTCAATAATTTAATTAAAATTTGTAATTGTTTGATCTGAGCTGTCTGAGCCAGTTACATTGTGCTCGACCAAAAATGGGATGTCTGGATTGTTTATTTTCTTGTTTAAGTATTTGTTTAAATTCTGCCTCTGGTGTTTCCTTGTTGCTGCTTATGTTTCTGCAGGGACTTTTTGCCTCTTTTCCACAGTGTGTTTGTGTGTAAGTATGTGTGTGTGAAGCCCAGAAAAACAATACCAACAGCCAGCCAAACTGTTGGGATTTACATGACTAAGGTGGACTGTTAGTGGAAAGACTGAGTCACAAATAGATCAAGGGTCATTGTGGGTGATAATATGACTTACCTCTTAATTTAAACTGTTCCCAGAGCATTATTGACCCCTCCATTTACAAAAGAACAGATCAAAAACGTCCTTTATTCCACAAGCTGTGAACTTTTTTAACATGCTCAAAATCAAGGTGTCCCGCTGGCCTGGTCCAAATTTCCACTTTGTAGATCCAGAGCTGCTTAAGGTGCAATATAAGTTTAAGTGTAGGTGCAGTTTATGTCTGTTAATGTTTTGTATTATGTTGGTGTCTGTAAAAAGCCCTGTGATTATTCTCTGCAAACCAGTTTCCCTACAACGACAAATAAAGTCTTCAAACACAAATTTGCATTTTTACTGGGACAAATCCTGAGTCTTTTGACTTGTACTTCTTGTGACCAACTGGACATAACAATCAGCACTATCAACATTTAACACTCTTGAAATCCCTGCATGCATGACGGCCGGTGAATACATCAAGTCCAACAATGAGTCACAAATCATTAATACAATGAGTCATGAGACTGTTGCGATATTCTAAGCAGAAGTTTTTGTCACTGTTCAGATTGTTCAAACCTGTTTATGCACATTGCAATTACATTACATTTCATTTAGCTGATGCTTTTATCCAAAGCAACTTATAATAAGTGCATCAACCATGAGGAACAAACCCAGAACAACAAGAAGTACAAATTGCTTCAAAAAAGCCAAACTACAAAGTGCTACATGTAAGTGCCATACTGTATATATATATATATTAAATTGGTTATTAGACATCATCTTCTTCAAAAAGGTTTAGTCGGAAGAGATGTGTAGACTTTCTGCTGTCCTGATGTCAATGGGGATCTCTGTCCATTTAGGAGCCAGGACAGCAAACAGTCATGCTTTTGTTGAGTGGTTAGCTTGCAGTGAGGGAGTAGTAAGCTGATTGGCAGATGCAAAGAAAGTGGAAGGGCTGGGGTGTAAGGTTTGACCATGACCTTGATGGAGACTGGACCCGATCTGTTCAAAGCACGGTACGCAGGTACTAATATTTTGCAACAGATGCGGGCAGCCAATTAACACATCAGGGTTTTTTTTTTCATACACATACTCTCATACTTACTGAGGTAGACAGTTATAACAGTAGTTATGTGCAAAAACAAGTGTGCATATAGTCTGATATATATATATATATATATATATATAGTTAAAACTAATCACAAGGACATTAAAGGTACAGTGTGTAGAATTTTGTGATATCTAGTGTTGAAATTGCATGTTGCAGCTGAATACCCCTCACCTAACCCCCCTTCCAAACATGAAAAAGAACCTGTGGTAGCCTTTAATTGTCATAAAAACTCAAAAGGTGTTTAGTTTGTCCAGTCTGGACTAATGTAAAAAACATGGCTGCCTCCCTCAAAGTAAATATTAACTATTTAAATATAAAGGGCCTTTTCTGGGGTAAAGAAAACTACAATTCATACAATTTAGATGAAACAACTAGTGAAAACATCATGAGGATTATTCTACTTTAAATTTCTAGCAATAGTTCCCTTTCACCTTAATCTTAAAAAACGTTATGGGTCCAGTTTTTACTTCTAAATTTGGACACAACTGAAGTCATTGTACTTGGCCCTAAACACCTCATTGTCTGGCCAGATAATCACCTTGGACAACAATGGTTTGGCCTCAGGCTCTACTGTGAGAAGGCTTGGAGTTTAATTTGACCAGGACATTTCATTTGATGCCCCCAAGTCTCTAGGAAAGCCTTCTTCCTCCTCGTGCACAATATCAGGGAAATTAGAAACATCCTGTCTCAGAAGAATGCTGCGAAAGTAGCCAACTCATTTGTTAACTCTCAACTGTACCATTGTAATTCTTTATCAACAGTATTTCCTCGATAAGTCTATGAAAAGCTGACAGCTGGTTCAAAATGCAGCAGGGACTAGAAGAGAAGATCATATTACTCTTGTCTTATCTTCTCTGCATTGGCTCCCTGTAAAATTCAGAATAGGATTCAAAATCCTGCTCCTCACCTAAATCCCTTAACAATCAAGCCCCATGGCCCCAACCATGTCTACACTTAACATTAGACTTAACACATTTTGATACAGCTTATAGTTACAGCTGGATCAGGTGAGCCCTGAAACATCCCTTACTTATGCTGCTTTATAGGCCTAGACTGCTCGTGGAACTCCCATCATGCACTGAAATTCTCTCTGTCTCTCTTCACCCCTCATTTAATTTACTACATGTTACTAACTTTGTGTTTTCTCTCTCTCTCCAGTTTTCAGTGCTCCTCATAGTGGGGATGGACTCTTTTTGTATATTGTTTCATCTCAGTTTGCATCTGTGAAAGTGATACCATGTTGCAGTAAATGAATCCATAACTCCTGCACTTTACCATTTTGTATTCTTCAGTTGTACAGATATCACGATGTTTCATTACATGGTTGTCAATAGTTTATTGCACAATCAATGTATCATGGTATTAGCTTGATCATGGGCCATGTGTTACGTTTTGTATTGTATCGTGAGTAACACTGCAATTCCCACCCCTAATGATATACAGTGACTGTTGAAGTGGGATGACATCCTGACTTCAGTCCTCACTTGGTTCTATTATAATCTCCTGCATTCTATGTATAAATCATCTTATATATTCCCTCATACTTCTTCCTATTCACACTCACAGTGGGACTGCAGCCTTTCCCAGCATGCACTTGGAAGGAGACTAACACCCAGTTCATCAGGTCACTCGTGTGTCGAACTCGGGATTGTTCTCTTTCCAGAAGCTACCAGGTTCTTCTCTGGTCACACAGCTGTCAGTCCCCCCTTTAAATCCCTCCTCCCCTCACCGCCACTTTGGCATCAGGCATTTGCTGGTGAGTTCTCAGCTGTCTGAGCCTGAAATAGATCTTATCAGGAGCAGACCACCTCTGACGGGGGTCAGGCTCACAGAATTCATTGAATGGGAAATAACAGTTTAATTCACGAGGCCTTTTCTATTTAAAAAACACTGAAATTATATTTGTTGCAACACAAGTAATCATGGTTTATGATGACCTTCTATGCAAATAATTTTTAAGGGGCCTTTGTATAATTGAAATGAACCCCTGGGTGGGATGGATGGTCCACTTCAACTCTGTCCCATCTCATTGAGATGCAGTATAAATATAAATTGAGGTGTTGGTGGGGGGAAACTTTTACCAGACAGAAAAAGTCTGAACCACACACTGGAGACTGGAGGTAAAGTCGTCTACGCAGGACAAAAAACCTGAAGAACAGATCCATAGAAGAGGATTCAGCGAGACACACAGCACATAATCCTTAAGGTACAGCACAGCCTCCACAGAAAACTTTTTGTCCCTGTTTTTTCGTGTCCATCAGGTATGAATAGGGTGCTTAAGATAAGAGCTCAGTGGGGGGTAGATTGTGCCATATCAGGGGGAGCAAGAGGACATGGTGTCTGTCTATTAGGAAAGAAGCATTTGTTTCAAGGCTCCACTTGGGGTACGAGACCATGCCCAAATAAGGCCTGCAGGGGAGGCCATTTAAAGTTAGGGATAGCATGTGCATGGCCATTTTCTACAGGAGAGCCAGGTCAACAGGACACATTTGAGCAATAATGGTAAGTTTTAAAGATTTATATGATATTATTATATGAACAGGCTATGATCGCTGTCCTCAAGGGTGTATGTAAAATTAAAGTATTGCTTTTGAACTGCTTCCATACTTATAATCTCTTGATCTTTACAGTTAAATTGAGCAAAAGTGTGAAACTGTTTAGCAGGTTTGTTTATAACCTTTCGATTGTTTTAAATATTTATTATGTATCCAGAAACCTCTGAATGTGATTGGAATGTTTGAATTGAATATGTCGCTTGACACATGCCATATGTCTGTCATGACTCATGACAATGAAATAGTGAAATTGTGCTTTGGCTAGTGAGGTACGGTGTCAGACACAAGAA